TTGAAAATACTAACTAGAATTTTTAGAACGTGACGGGAGGAGTAGTGTGGTTCATAAATGTCTAGAAATAAAAATAAACTGATCCATATATCTCAATTGAGTTATTATAAATAAGTGTAATGAATGGCTTATAATTTTGATATAGAAATAAAACTAAAAAATTTACAAGTTTTATTTATTTATATATTGTAATTGTACTACTCATACATACGATATTGAATTAAGTTTAACAGATAAACACAATATGTTTACTTCGTGTACGGAATAAAAAAATATTTTATAAAAAAGAAATAATAAAAAATATTCAAAAATCATCAACAACGATAAAATATGAATGTGATAAAGCTTTCATGTACTGTCTTGTTGCTTGAAGTGCTTGAGGATCTATAAAAAATAAATAAATAGTAGTAGTATAAATACATAAGCTGAACAAGCAATTAGAAAAATAAAAAACTTAGAAAATTTATTGAAATATCAAAAGGTATTGAAAATAAAGCGTTTTCTGCATAATAAACTTTAAAAATCATTATCGATGCAAGTAGTATGTAAAAACAAACTTTGCTGACACATTAAAAATACAAATTTGTATTTTAAATAATATTTTAATTTTTAATTTAGTGAAAATCAAAATCTTAAAATATTTGATATCTCAAATTATTTTCTGTTTCACTTATGATTTGATTCAACGAGAGCATACTGTATGATAAAACCTAGTGGAACATGTGTATACTATTGCATCATTTACGTTATAGGTATCATGTGTTATAAATAATAAATAATGATAAGTAAAAAAAAATTTTGGTCTGATTAATTCCACGTAACAGTATTTTTGTTCATTATAATCTAAATTATACAAATTCGTTCCTATTATTTTATTACTTCAAACACTATACCCAGTGGCGTATTTAGAAATTTATAATGAGAGGAAGGCACAAACAATTTTTATGAATATATATTTATAATACCATAAATCGACTTTTTTTTTGCCCATAACTTTTGTTAACACATATTTTAGATTTTTTTGATCAAAATTTGTTATTTGTTTTGAATCCATTTTTATTAATAAAAAATTTTTCTTTTTATTCAATATGTATCTCTGCGTAAGAAACACTTCAAAATAGGTGACAACATTAATGGGTCAACTATGCGGGCGTCAAATTTTTCTCTAGAAGACAACTATTATTATTTTTTTTTCAACCCGAAGGTTGGTTTACAACAAGGATTTTTTTTAAGATATAATTCCTTTCTGCGAATTTAATTTTCCATCTACTGGAATTAATGGAGTTATTTTGGTAAATTAGTTACTCGCTGTTGTAAAATTATTAAAATAGCATGGAATATATTCTACAATATATATATAATGTGATTGGACAGGGTAGCTACGGCACAACGGTATACATTATCTAAAATAATAATCGGCGACGGCGGTCGTATAAATTGTGTCGAGCAACCAAATCAAGGAAACGCTAAACGTATTATTAATTAATGTTTCTTATTTTTTATAACGATGCACATTTTTGTTGTTTACATTAATAAGTTGAGAATTGTATTTACTAAATTAACCGTTTATTAACAGAATAAAAATATAATTATTATTTTTTATTACTATTCATTAATTATAATTTATGCACAATTGATTTTTTTATCATCATAATTTAAACTACAAAATTTCAATACATAATTTTTTTACGTTGACTTTTAAATACTTTTAAAGTAACAATACATTATACATTAGAAAATACAAATTTTTAAGTAAATTGGGAGGGGGTAATCAGCTCAACTCTCATTTTATCTGTGTTCTAACAAGTGGGCGTTTGTTCCTTATTAGCTTAGATTCGCTTTTTGGGTAGATCCGGCCCTGTCTCTAATATTATATTATGCAACTCTTCTGGGTGTCTCAGGGCATGTCTAACCATTTTTCAGCGTCTTTTTCTAATCGCATTTATGAGTGTGCGTTTTTCTCCTATAGCTCTAAGTATTTCTTCATTTGTTTTCCGCTCTATCCAACTTATCCTTTCCTCATCTCTTCTTCATATTGAGATGTGGCTTTTTTTAAGAGAGCAACTGTGCGACGCGAAATACTCGGACGTCCACCTGCCGAGTTAAATCGCGTCTTTAACGGTTCCTTTAAATTAAAATAAAAAAAATAAAATAAAGTTTTGTGGACTGTAAATGTATTTCTCCATTTGATATTATCCAATACGATAACCACGATGATTTATCTTAAATCTATGGTTAGTACTTACATTTAAACTAATATAATAAAATATAATAACATAAATATATATTAACAATTAATATTTAGACAAAAAAAAAAAGAAAATGTAAATCTGACCTTGCTTCTTCGTACCGCAATAACGAGTGTTTCAAAGTGTCAATTAGTACAGTTCAGCCCGACGCAATCAAACTATAAATTATATGCTTATAAGGTGAATTGCACACATAAACCATTTCGTTTTCTCTTAACACAAATTGTTGGATCTTGCAATACGAATAGTCTATTTTGTTAACTTTGAATAGTTCATCAATTTTGCCACACTGCCGTTCCAACCATTTTTCTTTGGCTTTTTGATTATCCTGGTTTCTTAGTTGGCGATCCTTTTGTTGTCCGTCTCTCGTGTTATTGTTTTTATATTTTCGTTTTTCATTTATAAGTTTTACTACTTCCTTTTTGCTCTTCTTGGCTTTTTGGTTCTTTCTTTTCTTATTTGTCAACATAGTATCCGCCACTTATTCGATAGCTGATTTTATGTTCTCTCATTTTTTATTTAAAGAATCTACGTTTTACTTTTTGGTATTCGCGATCAATGTGGTGTTTACATTGTTCGATAGCCTCTGCTCTTTTATGTAATCTGTCACTATATTTTGACACTGCCCCGTGTCGCTTCGTTATACACGATGCCCCGCAACTCGTGCCACCTTTATCAGCAGTCGCCC